GTTTCCTTTACCTTCTGAACATAATGACAATGCTGCTTAGGTTTTAGTTTGAGTGTTAGGGGAAACTAATTGAAATGTGAAAAACCAGTTTCCCCAAACAATCTATATATAGCAGGCATTACTTAAGCTCTTCTGTGTCAAAACCAAACCAAACCAAACCAAAAAAATCAAAAAACCCAAACAAAAAGAACTCCCACAACAAAAAAAACCTAACCCCCAACCCCCCCAAATTGTAATTTATTCTCTTAGAAACATGTTTACAAGTTTTTACTTTCGAAGTGGGAGCAGTGGTGCTCAGATTCAGCACGATGTACCAGAAGACAGGGGATATCTGTGCCATCTGTGCCACTGGAGATTTAAAAAGTTCCTCCCCCTGTGATACATGCTATGCCTAAGGACACTGGCAGGATACAGTGGCCACTGCAGTCAGTGCCAGCTTCAACTGACATTGGGTTTTTTAACACATCCTACCTATTCTGAAAGATCCCAAAGTCATTTTAACAAAGTAGGGGAAGCAGGTATGCTTGAAGTACCTGTGAAAGAACATACAGAACAAGGGATGAAAACAACTTCCAGGCTTGCTTAGGCAAACCCTTCCAAATACCATGAAATCTTTTGGCCATAGAGACCAAACAGGGCCTTAAATTGTTCTTCGGTTTTTTTAAGCATCATTGTCAACTCAGTGTGTACTTTGGAAAATGGAGATTCTGGTCCTTCATCTTACTACTTTACTATAAATCAAGTCACTGTAGCAAAATTAGGAAGACTGGACTTCACAGTGTGGAAATCAGTTCCCAGAGAAGCAGCACTCAATATTATTACTTTAATGGATGAGGAGGACAGGAATTGCCTTACCATGGATTTAATTTGTTTTAAAAATGGTAAAGAGCATATAGTCTTTTCTGCTAATTGTTATTTTTCACTTTAAACAACTTTGTTAATTAGGAATTTTTTTTTTTAAATTAACTTCTGCCAATGAAAATACAATTCTTTATCACAAGAAAAAAAAAATCTTCACATAGTAGCTTTAGTGCTCTGGATACTGTCAGAATAAAATTATAATAAAAACTATATATATGTCAACAAGAACTGGAAAACTCTGAAGGAATCTAACGTACTTTTATGGGATATTTTTGCTTATTTAATCCCTTTACTTTTTAATAAATTTTTAATATTATAATTTTTAATTTTTAATAAAGGAAATGCACTAGTCAAGTTCAAAGATTTAGTCATTGTGCCTAATTCTTTGAATTACAATGTTTAAGTTAGGAATAGAGCAAGAGTCACAAAAGCATTTCAGTATAACTAAGGAAGTCAAGGGAACATTTATATAGGTTTATTATTTTGGAGAAAAAGAAAGCAATCCAGTTAATCTCCATTATTTTACAAAATTTAACTTTGTGCTACCTGAAAACTGAATTGTCTCAAATTTTTAGAAAGTTGGAAATATGGAACAATTTTTCAGACCTCATATAAAAATGGCTGCCTGTTTCTAACTTATTCCACAACGAGGGACTGCTAGACCAAGCATTTGCTCCTTTTCAGTTTTCTGAAGAGCACTTGTGTAGCTGTAACATGTGCCCTCCTTTTAGTAGGTAGATCCTTTTCTAGGGAGCCAAAGATGATTTGAGAAGTATTCTGAATGTAGGGATTTAAATATTCCTTTGCTGCACTCACTGTGCTCGTACTTTTAATATTTTCAAGACTGAGCTATATAGCAATGCTGCTGTAGATGGAGTTTGTGTTCAGCCTACAAGAACAGCCTACTTTGCTACGTGGTCTGCATCTCACCTATAGTACCATGTCACTTAAAGCCTGCTAATGCAAAGCCTGGCATGATTTATTGTTATTTAACTTTATAAAGTAGCAGCATGGGTGGGCGTACAGTTTAAAGAACATTGCCCTCTGTCATAAAAAGTAGTTAGCAACAGGGAAAGAAAAAAAATGGTAGTCAAATAGCTGTAAACACTTGTTTAAAATGTATAAATTTTAAAATATGTAGTTAGTAAGTATATTTATTTTCCTGGTTTTAATGCTTTCAAACATTAGAACTCTCCCTTTTTTCTCCTTCAATCTACTTTTGATGGAAAAGGAATATTAAACTTTATTTTTCCACCTCTTTCTAGCTTTATTTTTTCTTCTATCACTCCAAAGAGTTAAAGGCTTCCTCCTGTTTCCTCTGCCCATTTAACAGCTAATTGCAATGGTGGCTGACACCTAACAGGAAAAAGAAAAGCAGTCTAGCAACTATGCACCTTCTCCTCACTCCTCTGTAGCCTCATGCAATTGTTTGATACCCAGAATAAAGGCAGCCATCAATAGCAGCCAGTCAGCTTAGTCTTCCTCTTTCTCTTCAAATAAACATTGCAACCCCCAACAACTCTGATGCAGCAAGTGCCCCAGCTCCCCAGTTTCCAGGAGGAAGCAGGAAGTTTCCTTTCCTCCATTTCCTCCTGACTGTTCATTTTTTCATTTGAAAAGCAAGCTAGTGACTTTAATTATCTGTGCTTCTTGTAGCCCTCTTATTGCTCTCTCTGCATTTTCCCCTTTACATGCATTTAAACATATTTTTCCTTATTTCATATCCCCACATTGCATTCATTCTATGTAAGTTTTTTGTTAAATCAAGAGCTGTCTCACTTAGTCATTAATTTAGAATCCCAAAAATACTCATCAGGTTAATTAGAACATAGCCATATGCTACAGCCCCAGTCACTACAACTCTCCCTCATGCTCAGCTGGATTAAGTCAGTCAGGGATTAGAACATTTTAATTACTCTGTGGAAATGGCATCATACCGTTCTTGCAAAGGATGCCTTATACCAGAATAAAATCAAACCCCCATGTACACTAGCCTGGACCGTGCCACTTTTCCCCTCTGGATTAAACCTACAATTCCGCTGACTGCATACAAGGAACCATTTTTGCTTTATTTTTCCTATGCTCCTTTTCTCTTTCTATCATACGTTGTACAACATACCAAAAGGAGTAAGCATTGCTTTCTGCATTGAGCAATGCCCACGTTGTGGGGAACCCAGAAACCAGGCCAGGACAAGAATTTACTTACCAAAAGTGTCTATTGGCTCTGCAGCAAAGCTCAAGACATACATTGGATCATCTTTTTCACAAGCACGGCACTTCATAAAACAACCCCTTTCCGAAGCTTTATTATGGAATTCTCCATGTGGAAGCATAAATTCGATATTAGCTTTTGAAACACGTTCATCAACAGATGCTTGATAGAAAGCTTGGAAAAATCCTTATTTCCAAGTCCTGGTTAGCAGGCAGTACCTGAGCTCGGACCAACCTTTAGTGTTAGGGCCATCTAGTGGGAGAGAAGGCATGGACAGAGAGGCCGGGACACGTTCAGCATACGGATTTTTCATCCGACTCGGCTTTCTGGTGTGACCTCTGGATACCTGGGCCAACGAAACAAGGATCGACAGATCGTTGCCAGTATTGCAAACAAAAGACAACATGACTCTGAGGGCTGCTTTAGAAAAAGAGAAAGTGGGCAAGCGGCCCTCAAAATTCATACAGCTGTTAAGGAGAGGAGCCTGTGCCTGTACCAGAGTGAACCAAACAGCCAAGGCAGAGGAGACAGTTTCAAAGAGGATAAAGACAGGAAGCACAAAATCTTTCATGATTTTGGGGAAGCAAGCCTCCTTGGGTACTGGCTATTCCAGTTTGTTCATACCAATCCTGTGAACTTTACAGGGAAAATATAGTAGGGTGAAAGGCTTGCACAAGCCTCTCCCCTCTGGTTTAGACCATTCCATACAGCAGTAAGATCAACCCTTCAGGCTGAATTTTAGTTAACAAATGATTTCTTGAACCATCGTGGAAGACTGTGCTAATATCTAGTCAGTGTTAACAGGCCCATAGTGCAAGAACATGTATCCTAGGCCCCAGAGAATTAAGCCCATGAAGTTTTTGGTGCTAGAATTTGACAATACACCAAGCATGCTCTGAAAGAAAAAATCCCCCAGCCTCCAGTGTTTCAAGCCCCTTACAGCAAGAGAATTTGTTTTATGAGTACTAAGATGATATAACACTCCCCCCACAATTAAACCCAAAACAAAACCGTATTTGTGTTTCTTATGCATTTGAAAGGGAATTAATGTTTTCCTTCCTATTGGGCTGTCAGAAAGCAATTAGCTTTGCCCACAGCAGCAAAAGAGAGGATAAATAACAGGCAAGATAGGTGTTTCAGGCAAACACAAGTGATTAATGGCCTCTCTCATGCTACAGTTCAGAGAATCAGTGGAAAGATATACTTGAAATCATATCTCTCTCTCTCTAGCACTAGGACTGCAGTGTGCTGTCCAAATGGTGACCAAGACTGCTCACAGACAAATAAATACATGGACCACCTATTTGAAGAAACTTAAGCCTGCAAGTTGGATATAGAAAAGTGAACAATCTCTTAAATCATGTTTGGACCATTACCTAAAAATAGTGTTTCAATGTAAATAACAGTTGCCGTCCAGTGTCTCTCCCTATTCCTATCATAATCCTATTCATCTACTTCTTTGTAGTTTGAAGTTTTCTTCAAATTTCCATGTAAGGAGCATGAAAAGAGCAGCTGGTCAAACTGCTACTGTCAATTAGTGGAAATACCCTGTTATTATACAACATAGAAGCTGCATTTGTAACCAAGTTTGCATGTTTTAATGTTCAGTATCTAGATCTCAAAAGAAATGCTGCCAGTCTATGATACACAAGCTCTGGTTGACATTGTACTCAAGCCAACACCTCACAGCTGCAGGTTGAGAGAAAGATAAGAACGGTGGGGTTCAAACAAACAAACAAAACCCCCATGACTCAGCAGTGAGACTAGCTTTCACAGAGTGAAGACACACTGAAATAAAGCTATTGTCTATTATGAAACAAGGGAGAGAACCATCCTTTTCTGACAGCACAAGATTTAAGACAGAGTTGCTAATATTTTAGCTAAATTAAGTGTATTATATTATGGTAATATAAGACAGTCAGGTAAGTTTGTTTCACTGAGGTGTTTATACATTTGTTTTCCATTTATCAAAATTTATTTGAAGTATCAAAGAGAGCAACTGGATTAAAAAGCAGGTACAAAACCAGAACACTTATTTACAGTTGATTCATATATAAAATGGTAGCTGATAATGCTGACAAAGCATATTTCAACATCCCTTTCTGGTGTTTTAAATCTACTGAGAAACAGAAAATGATATCTTAACAACACAGAAATATATTTAACATAACAGCACCACAATGTGCAGGTTTTTTTTCCTTAATACATTGCAAGCTACCAGCATAGCATATAAAAATGGGACAAAGGCATGACATCTAGCAGGTCAATCTTTTGATTCAACTTTGCATCACAATAAAGAGAGACCAAGAATAACCTAAAACATTATGGCTCAGTAAGACAATGAGATAGAAATTTAAAAAACCAGGGATCTGCAATAGATATATCTTAGTTCAGCAATCTTAAGGGATGCTTGGATTCGTGAAGAAACTCTTCTGTCATGTCCTCCATTTTGTTCTCCACTGTAGCTGCAGATTTGTTCTCTTTACCCTTTTTGCGACGACTTCTCTGCTGGGATTTAAAGAGAATACCTGATGTTAAAAGAAATACAAAGAAAGGACTTCTTGCTCATGTACAGTGCAGTACATAGCGTTCTGAGAAAAAAAAAAAGTTGGTAGAACTCCTGAAAAAGGTTCCTAATATACTGCATTTACTGAAGAGATTTACTGCAGACATACAGAAGCTCAGCAGTTGCTTTTAAAGGATCCACAACAAGAAAACACGCTACCCCAGCAAGCTAACCCCTAGGCAAATATACCAAGGAGCTTACACTGACACATTAGTAGAGCAAAAGGGTCAGAAGCAAGTAAAAAAAAAAAAATCAAAACCCCCTCCACATAACTTCAACTTTTCCATTAACACACATGTTTGTCTAGCAAGTTATGACATTTTTTTCATGCAGGACTATTTGCTGAATTTTCAACTGTCTGTCCAGCTTGTCGGAAATCTGCACTATTTTATCCAGTATTAACTGTCATCAGAATCTGCTGTGACTTTAGCTCAAGTTTAGCAAAGTGTATTCTACAGGATTTAAAGAAGCTATGATACTACATGAAACTACAAGAAGTGACTTGAAACTACAGCATTATTACAGAAAATTAATTTTCTTCATTATTAAATACACAGCTGTTTTGAATATCTGTGGAATTTACCTGGAAAAAAGGAATGCCACCATTTGTGTGGCAGTATACATTTGTATCCGCTAAGCATTTGTCGCTAGCAAGGCTTTCATTGGATTCTTGCAACCCTCCCTCCTCTTCCAACAGGTCCTAAAACAGAAATTTTTCAGAAAAGTGTATTTAATGTCTGAATTTCTTCAGTGAATATACTAAGCATGATCAGATCTATAAAAGACATAAAACTTCCATTTTTGAAAAACAGAAATAAAAGTAAATTATTAATAATATTGCTTATTTTCCAATAAGAGAATATTTTTATCCAAAGCTCAGCATACTTGACTCCAAGTACACTGTAAAACAAAATCTGCAACAGCTCTGGGATTCTAGTCAACTCTCCACAATGGCATTAAAAACCTCAAAGATGTGAAATTGTCATTCAAGAGCCTCATTTGCTGTTCATGTACATACCTGACCTGCACTATCCTCCATCTCCTTTGACATGCTGCTTAGCATAGCATCAAGCTTAGATTGCTTTTGCCTTAATTGCTCCAGTAGAAGTTCCCGTGGCTCTGTTCTCATGAGTGTGACTGGATAGAAGTAGTCTCTTCTCTGTGGAGTTGTCCCTTTAATGAAGATTGCCCTCCATCAGTGTACACAATTAATGCTTTCAGCATTTGCTTTAATTTCAGACCCTCAATTTTACATTAACTCAATACAGAAATCATGCTTCATTCAGTCACCATTCTTTCCATACATCTTAGAAAAGGTGTAAGGCTGCCAGTTATATTATGTTCCCATTGAGATTCACTTACAAATTCTGGAACTCAAATTGCTTTTGGCAAGACCTTCTGTCCCTGAGCTACTTTAAATACCTGTTGGAATATCCACTTTCAGATCCTCTTGCAGGAAGCCATTAACCTGAGTTAGTCCATGCTGTACTTTGTTGCTAAGTGCCAGCTTCTGCTCCAGAAGTATCTCTTTATCCACCTTTATCTGATCAAGAAAGCCATTGAGTACCTTCCCCTCAGCAGCCACTTGTCTACTACTACGGTCAGCAATTTCAGCTGTTGTTTTATCACAGTGTTCTTCACTTTTCTGAAAATGAAACAAACAAATAACCCAGCTAAAAACATCGAGTTAACAGGAAAGGTAAGATTATGGCCTCTTTTCTAAGATGCAGTGCCTTGATTAGTGACATGATCTGAAACGAAACAACTGAGACGTCAAATTGAGAAGTTTCAGTGCCAGTTTTACACTCTCATTTTGAGAACTATCTTCACAAGAGAGTCAGTTTCTTAGAAAGTATGATCATTTTAAAAAGCTACTCATAAAGATGATGCCATCTAATTCTGATCAGACTCCTCATGCTTCTATGCACAACTCTGCAGGATTACGATATTCAATTGGGAGTGAACATCCTACAAGCACTAGAAGCTTTATGCATTTGTAGGAGGAAGAGGAAAATATGCATTTTTAGCCATTCCCATTGAAATGAAACTTCTGAAGTGTTCAGCAGGTACAACAGATACAATAAAACAAGAAGAGTGGGAAGTAAAGTTTGTGATGGAAATGAATAAAACGAAAAACCTGAAAGAGAAATTCTCAGATAAGAAGCCAGAACTTGTAGATACCAAAAAGGAATACTTTCTCCCATGTTAATTCAATCTGACCAATAGTCATTTGCATCGTCCAGAATACAGCCTGTGCAGATCTCCCAGAGACATTACTGGTAGATAAAGCTTAGAGATATATACTATCAAGATGATGAAAATCCAAGTTAACTGCATGGCATTAATCATAACACCATTTTTGAGGTTATTTGCACTTTTAGTCCCAAGTCTTCCTATTAATTTAAGCTTTTTATTTCCTCTCATTGCATCTAAGCTCAGTAACATGAGTCTGCTGTGATAAAGCCACAATTTTCTTCTGACTGTAACTGAGAACTTCTTTCCTCCCTACAAATTCTGCAGTAAAAGTCTGTCTCATAATGTTGCATTAGATTACAAATTACTATAAGTACCTTTTGTAAACACTGAAACTGCTGTTTCTCATCACTGAAGGATGATAGCTGCTGATCAGTAAAGTTGACCACCTGAGCAGTTGTAAATTCACGCCAGGTTTTGGTGTCCTGAGACACATCCTTGAGATTGCTGAGGAGATGTTGACAGTGGTCACTGGATTCTTCCAGTATCATCTTATTTTCAGCATTTATGCCCCTGAGCTCTTGAGAGAAATTATCCAGAGATGTAGTACATTTGCTGTGATTGGAATTTGCACTGCTAACTAGGTCTGTAGTTTTCCTGCAACAACATATTTGTAAGAGTTCAGAAATTTTGAAAGGTAGATTTTAATCACAATCTACATTTAGAAATATTTGAGACTGGAACCAGCGAAATAGTACAATTCTATCAAAGCAGTTAATTATAACCTTGTTGCTCTTTTAGTAAATATATAAATTGCAGTAGGATGAGTAGATTTGTTAAAAACCAAACAAAAACCCCGAACTAGAACCAAAAAACCCCAACTACAAGCTAAAACCAGCAACTGGCAACATCTTAGTTGTTCAGTCTACAATTGAATGAAGCATGCTTCAATAGATACATTATACTTCAAGACTTTATGATATGAAGTTCTGAAGTCCAGACACTGAGGGACATTCATCAGAATATTGCTCCTAAAATGACAGTGTCTTATCTACAACATGCTCAGGAGAGAAGTTTGAGGAAAAGCATTGTAGAGCTAGTTTACTCTGGGGAAAGATGATCCCAGAGAAAACTACGATCTACACTCTGTGGCAGAACTCAGCTCTAACATACAGACCTCATTCAAAAGACTTTATAAGAACATAAATATGAAGAGCATCTAATTTTGAAGTTCTCTTCATGTATAGTTTTATCTTGCATCAGTGCACAGCAAAAATAATCTGCTCCTTACAAGTGAACGTTTTCTTGCATAGCAGTGATGGTGGTCTTCAAGCTTCCATTTTTCGTGAGTACATTAGTTAAGTTCTTCTGAGTCTCCTGAGCAAACATGTCAAGCTGGCTTCGCAGTGAGGACATGAATTCAGCTGTTCTCTATTAAGAAAAATGCCATAAATTTTACTGTTATTCTGCGCTTTTTAACATTCTTAAAGGGCACTTGAATACCTGTATTAAAAGTGCAGCAGATAAAAGTTTTGCAGTTCTAAAGCAGAAGGCACAATCTTTGTGTAGTCAAGACAAAGACACTTTGCTTTTGGAGATATATGTAAACACATATACTAAACAGGCCCACAGAAGGGGAAGTCTTTTTTGTTACCTTCCTACATAAACTACTTAAAGCAGCCTAACAAAACCTGAAAAGAATAAGTTTCTGTCAGAAAAGATCAAGTTACTGTCCTAATATAAGTATAATGGTTTACTACTACAAAGAGTTTAAATCAAAGCAAGCAATCACACTTGGTGTTAGGATTTCTTCTTTCTCTAAGGATACCTCTGCATGTGCCAACCTCGTCCTTTCCACTTCTTCTTTTAAATCATCACAATTATGCTGAAGCTCAGCAAAACCACTGTCCACTTCTTCACGTATTTTTTTCAGAGTGAGAGAAAGATCTCCAAAGAAGGTATTCATTTCCCATTTATGGACCTCCATCTTGAAAAAAAAATTTACAGTTAGATATTTGCTTTTACTTCAGAAATGGATACTTTTCCCTAGCATAATTGATATAGAAACAAACTCTACTCCAAGCAAATTGTCAAAAGTCATTAATAAGGTATTGTGCATAAATGGTGGAAAATATGGAACAATCTGAAATTTGAGACTGGAACTTGGTATGGGCTATTCCAAACACAAAATCTGGCATGCAAGGTAGACAAAACAGAAAAGCAGACAAAGTATAGAAAGAGATGGAAGGGCATGGACTACTTGCTGCCCAAGTCTGAAAAGCCAATAAAAAGCCTTTAGACAAGGGGAGTTGATTTCACATGAGCTGTAATTGACAGAAGGGGAAAATTTTTCAGTCAGAACAAGGGCTCACCAGAAACAAAGACTTAATTTTACAAAATGGAAAAAAATAAATGAAAGAGTAGGGCTGCAAAGGACTTCAGTAAGTGCAGTGTTGTTTGCACTTATGGTTGTTAACAAGATAAAGCATCACATTCTCCAGGAATCAAAGTGACCACAGAAAAAGTTTGGTACAACAGCAGAAAAAAAATAGGAGTGATAAGACTTGTCCAAGTTGATTTTTCTTTTTCAGATTTCTAAAACACAGTGGAGAGTATATTACATGTATTATCAAATATTTGTTACATACAGATTTAAGCATCCGTGTTTTACCATTCGACTGAGGCATTTAGGTGAGCAGTTATGCCAATATAGGTAACAAGCAAATTTACCACATTCAGAAGTGGAAAAAGAAGTCTGAAAGGAAGAGTTAAAAAGCAGAACTCATAGGATAGGATAAAGGTGAAAAGGACAGACCAGAAGTGGAAACACTCTGACACACTGCAGAAAAACAAAGAACATATTATCTGTAAATTAAATAAAATAGAAGAACACAAGGGAGAAGTTATGTGCATTACCTCATCAGCCACAGCAGAGTATTTCTTCATGTTACTCTGAAACTGACAGTTTAACCCCAAGACAAATTCTACCACCGGTGTCAAGCTATTTAACGCTCTTCCTAAACCAGTTTCATGTTCCTCCTAGGAACAGTAGTAAAAAAACAAACAAACAAAAAAGTAAAACATAAGATGGCTGTTCCTTCATCTGCATTTGTAAGAAGCTATCTATATATATATATCCTTGTACTCTGTTATGACAGTATTTGCTATAAAGTACATTACAGTTTGCAGTAGTAACATGGGAGAGGAAGTGAGGAGGGATATAATCATGGTCAAGTGCTGAAGCAGATACAAGTAAAGAGCATCAGAAAAACTATATAATATTTACAGAACTCCCTTTTGATCAAGAATAGTTTCATATATTTAAGTAGCTTAAGAGTATGTAAGTGTACTAACAATTAATCTCAGCAGCTCAGCTTTACAATCCAGTGATAGATTCTCATGCTGCGTTATTTTTTCAGACATGTGAGAAATTTCTGTAGACACCAATTCTTTAACAGAGGCACAAGCTGCTGACATAACTGATGCAAGAATATCAGCTGTTGAAGAACTGGTAGACAAGAGGTCACCTACAAAAGAGATCAAGAAGAGTTACAAATTTTTTAATAGTTCCTCTGTAAGATAGGAACTTGTTTTATTGCTCATCACCTTATTGTCTCTTACAGCACAGAAAGGTTGTTGATGATCCCAGATACATTTTAATGGTACAACTGTAATCATTACATTGCTTAAAATAAAGCCTCTTCCACTTTCCTAAAATAGGTCCATTTTAGGAAGCAGTCTTCCTAAAAAGACTACTATTGCAAAAATTCAGGATGACTACTGATACAGGTATTAGACTTACCTATAAAATTTACCTATCTTACTGATAAAGGTATTAGACTTACCTATAAAATTTGTGTAAGATGTCAACATCTGTTGCTGCTTCAAACTGTTTTCACTAAGTGAATCCTGTATTTTGTTGAACAAAGCATTCATTTGTACTGCAAATGCATTTTGGACAACAGCATTGTGCTGTTCAACAGCTTTCTTACGGTCCAGTTTCGCATGAAGCCCAGATACATCTTTTGTAGTTTCTTCAACTGTACTAAGTAACTATAAATTTTAAAGTTATTTTAGTCAGTGTTTAAACAAGAAGTCAAGCACATATTTTATAAGGAAAATCAACAATAGTTCTGAGCTAGAGAAGTTCTCTCTCTAGAAAGATATTTCCCCTTACATTATCAAATTACAACTCTTCTGAATCTTAGTATTATGTCAGTAATAGTCTTAGAACATGGGAAAAAGTTACTTACTAGAGATCATTTGTTCTGGCTTTGAAGCCAAAGCATTAATAAATTACATCCTCAGTATTTAAGGAATTAAGGTACCATTTATCCCAGAATAGTAACTGAAAAATTCCTGACCACTTCAACTTTTTTCTGAACAATTTGACAATAACTATATTCTTTAATATAGTACTCAAGCAAGCAGTTTCCAGTACTAGTTCTGAAATAATCTGGAATTCATAAAAATAGTAGAGTCCTGGTTTTGTAGTCAGCATAAATTATTTCCCTACCCATTTGTCTCACACAAACATTCCGCAACCCACATGCTAAAACCAGGCATTCCCTTTCAATCTTACAGGAATCCAAGCAGAAAAAATTGTCACGTGGCCTAAAGATACAAATTTCATCACTTTGCAGTTTAAATAGCAGGACATTCTGTCTCCCTACACCAAGTCTGTTTTGATAATTATGACCAATCAAAGCCATATCCTAAAATATAAAGGTGATAGGGCAACGTTATTCAAACTTTTTGCTATTTTTCTGCTCCAGTTCACAGAATGGCTTGGAAGGGACCTTAAAGTTCATCTGGTTCCAAGCCAGAGCAGGAACATCTTCCACTAGACCAGGTTCCTCAGTTATATAATTTACTGTTTTGTAGGACCAGTCATAAGTTTCTAAAAGAAAACTACTTATTCTGCAAAACAATTTATGATAACAGATACTGCAAAGCACTGGAACTCCCATGACAAACTGGCCTAAAAGCAAGTTAGTTCCAGACCAACCAGCGTGTTTAGCAGTCAACTGTCAATATTACCACAGAGAAAGTCCTGCATTCTAATTCTAGTTTTCCGTCTTAAATTCAGCTTGTCTCACTTGCATCATGCTCTAGCAACAATTGATTTCCTTGAACAGCCCACGAAACTCCTAAACATAGGAAGCTGTTTTACAGTAGGTGCAAGAACTGTGACAACCTTGCTAGCTGTGCCATGAAGTTTTTGTTCATTGTTTTCCAAAACTGAAACCACATATTCTTCTTCAGCCAGATGAACCTTGGTTTCTTGCAGATCTTTTTGTGTTTCTTCTAGCTCTTTCTCCTTGATTTGCAGATCTGTTTTACACTGTTGAAGTTCATTTTTACTAACTGTGAATAGTTCAGTGATCTAAAGAGGAAGACAAACATCAATAGGGCAACACTACTTTTTAAAAATTCAACACAGTCTCACTTCACGTCTCAAATTATTCAACAATATCAGGATGTAAAATGTAATTTCAGCTGTAAGACTTAGAGGTCTTAAACCTAGAGTTTTGTATAGTCTTTGTATTCACTGAAAATATTAACCCAATACCATTCTCATTGAAATAATTCCTTGTTTCCCTACTCAAAACACAAGAGCAAACCACTGTTACGGACAAGGAAAAAACCCCATGGAACAAATATAAGTAGATAGACTGAAGAGAGTCAGTAAAGCTGATTACATAGAGTAGTTACATATTCCAGCAAATTAATACCTACACTTCTCTTATACTAGGAGCTTCAGTTTTCTAGGTAATTTGTTAGTGGGAGCTCATGACCCTCTCTGCTCATTCTTTGCTCCTAAGCAGGTATCTGTCAACTGAGATACCAATTTACAGGCAGATTTTTTGCTGAAAATCCAGCAACGCAAATTAAAGTAACAGATACGAAAACAGCTTTAAAAAATAAATACTGCACTCTGAAACTTACATATGTGTGGTAGTTTGGCCTAGGCCTTCCTTGGTGACCAGTTTGTAACCAAAGAAGTGCCCAGATTTACCCGGTATTCCCTACGATTTTTACGTAAACTGGGGTATAAGAAGAAGGGAGGAAAGGCCTTCGCCCTCTTTTTTCCTTCCGGCGGCTTTGGAGGTGCGGGTTCCCTGCTGTTGAGTCTGTCGGCTTGGAGAGTGAGGCCTGGTAAGGTCTTGTCGACCTTGGGAGGCGAAGGCTGCCAGCAGTCGCTCCAGCGTGACTCTCCATTGTCCCAAGGAGAGTAGTAAGATATTCTTTGCTAATTCTTTTTAGTTGATAGACCTTGGGCTACTGATCGGGATATATATATATATATATTTTATTTTGGTTTTTGTTCTTCCCTTTCCCTTTTCCCTGTGAAATTGTATATATATTTCAATTGTATATAAGTGTAAGCATATTTATATATATTGCTTTGTCTCTCTCTCGGTTTTGGTTCTTTTGGTTTTTTTCCCCCTCTTCTCCCTTGGTTTGGGGTGGGGGTGGGGGACTTCTTGTGGTAAGGTTTGGAGACTTGGCAGGGAGCCAGCTCCAAACCATATCAGCATGTTATTTCAACTTCCTAACTCAAGGATTAGGAAGCTTCCAGTCTTGACTAATAGGGGAACTTTAGGAACAACAAAAAAAAAAGAAACAAAAATTCTTTTGACTGTTCTTTGCTCAAACTTTTTCCTCCTTTTGAAAGGAGGAATTCATTTCTTCCATTTTTTGGCAGATTTAAGCAACAGTTCAAAAACATCACTTACTTTTTTCACTTCTTCCTCCATAACACCAATTTTGTCAATATATTCTGCAATTTGTTCTTCCTGAACAGTCAGCTTTCCATTAAGGGCTCTAAAGCAAAGATTAAAACAAATTAGTCAAGTAAGAGGCAATTTCAAGACTATCTACAGGTTTTTACACTATATTTTCAGTAATTTAAAAAAATAAGTATTGCTAACTTCTAGATGAAAAGCAGGTAATTTTCACTTAATACAGAAAAGATTTAAAACAATTTTCCATTGTAAGCTTTCTGTGTAAACTATCCCTCTTAAAAGTGAAGTTAACTATATTGAGTTTGCTTTCCTGTATGAACTTCCACTGAAAGACAGACTGCATGGTGTAAATCTACATCCTGGCTATGCTTATGGTAATTATTCCACATATAAATCAATTCCTCGGTGCAAGCCTATTAGGCTTTATCTGTGTAATAATTAATTTCTAAAGAACCAGTTGACCAGTCAGTTAAATTTTCCTGACTTTTCTTCAACTTTCTGGTGTGAAAATAGATCTGAAAGTATTTCTGTATCAGTATCTGAGATTTGTTGCTAGTCATTTTATAGAAATTTTGAAGACGTACTCATAATTTTCAAGAGAAATATAGACTCCACTTTTCTCTCGTGCAGCAACAAGGTCTCTCTTCAGACGCTCAATCTCTTCAGTGTATTCCTGCATTAAAAAACAATCCCATGTAAACCTGAAAATTTCTATTTGGTTTTGATATTTAGCTTAACAGATACTTCACAAAGGTAGTGCTCTACAGAAGTTTTGCATAAGCATGGGAGCAAAGCACTTCATTCTGTTCTAAGTACAGTACAGTACCCTTTAAAATCATACTATTGGATATATGTAAAGCATTGGAACCTTCCATTTGAATAATACTTGGTTGCATCAAGCAGCTCACAATTGGAATCACAACTTCCTTTGTAGCAGAGACCTACTTTACACTGGTCTTCACTCATACTTACTGACAAGTTCACTTTAATTTATGGACTTTCTAGGGAATGACCCTGCTAATACAACTCCTCCAGGAAGAAAAACAGTGTCGTTTAGTGGCTCTCCAATAACTTGTAAATATGTAATCCACAAACAGAGCCACAGGCAGTAGCAATAACCCTCTCTTTTCAACTTCAGTCTTGACGACAGTTTCAGTATCTGCAAAGTGACTAATCCTGCACCAGTAGAGCAGCTCCAGTTTAAAAGCACCAGTTCAATGATTCAAATCACTTCAGAAAAGCACTGCTACTAGTTAGAGCTTATCCACACCATCATAATTCCTGCACAGCAAAGACTACAAAATCAAACGTAACCTGTAACTTCATTTGTTAAGTTGTATGTCTAGTACCTTAATAAGGGCTTTTCTTGTTAGCTTCTGATTGACTTCAGGCTTATTCATTATGTTCTTTGCTCTATGGGCATATTCCAGTGTACTCAATGTTTCCTGGGAAAAAAAGATGTGAGACTAGGTCAAGCTGAGGAATTTCACTCATATTTTTTATTGTTAGTAAAATGTATTATTTATTTTAGGAATAGATTTTCAGACTTTAAATTTACCTCAAGATTTATAGATGCAGGAGAAACTGTGGCAATTATTGATGTTTTCGTCCGTCCTCCAAGAGAGTCTTGAAGGATTCTTGTGAGTTTAGATTCCCTGTATGGAATATGTGGGGCTCTTTCTACCAGAGCAGTAATAACTCTTCCTAGTGTCAGGAGAGACTGGTTGATATTTCCAGCTTCACGAGCTCTTTTGTCAACTGCCCCTGATCGACCGATGTTTTCACTTCCTGCGAGATCAACCTGAAAATAAGGTTATGCTTCTATCTCAAACCACCCTGAAGAATGCTTGGCCCAAGGTGTTGCAGAACACCTAAAATAGCAGAAGTGTTGTTCAAGAGACACCAGGATGACCAATGGGACTGACATTCTTCAGAGTGACAAATATAGCTCATATCACATTAAGAAAACAATCATTTTTCCCCTTATCAGAAAAAACCCTCAAACTCTAGTTCATGACTTTCAGAATGCTATCAACACCACTTAGTTCAAACACTTACCAAGTTTAGCTTTCCAATTTTAACAAGTTCTTCTCCATCTATTGTTGTTTCTTTCATATGGATGGTAATTGAAAACACCGAGTGGGAGCGGCTGCAAAAGAAACCAGTTTCAGACGTTCCGTTAAAGCCAAATTATCTACCTGCTATGTGACAGTGCTGCAAGTTATGTACCTGTGCTCTTTTTAGGGAATACATTTAACCCATCAATTGCAAATTACACAATTTTCAATACATAGTTATTTTACCAAGTATATTTTTGTGCGTATACATAGGAATATGGTATTTAAAACCAGTGATGAACCAAGTGGATGACATTTGACTCATTCAATCCAGATACATTTTATCTTATTTCAAGCAAAACCAAAAGAAATGCTTTGGTTTTGATTACATTCGTGTGTTCTCAACTCACATGCATCTCATGAAAAAAAAATATCTACAAGTCAATTTAGCAATATGCTAAGAACAGTTTCATAGAATGTGATCTTCAGGAACATAGTTTTGCTTATTCAGGTTAAGAAAATAATCAAGTAGCTGAAACCAATATTAAAATTTTAGAAGTTAAATTAATTTTTCATTCAAAATAATAATACAGTTTAGGATCACAGAATCATTGAATGGTTTCATCCAGCTCCAATGCCCCTATCATGGGCAAGGGCACCTTCCACTAGAGCAGGTTGCTCAAAGCCTTATCCAGCCTAGCCTTGAACACCTCTGCAGATGGGGCATTCACAATTTCTCTGGGCAACATGTTTCAGTGTTTCACCACTCTCACAGTAAAGATGATTTTAGGTTGAGTTTATTCCTTTAATAAGTTTTTACAATAGAAGGTGACATTCATAGAAAGCCACAGCTGTCAAGTTACACCAGTTAGACTATACGTAAAACAACAGTTCAGGCAGAATGAATTATCTAAATTGTCTGTAATTTCAGACAAAATTAGTTCTGTGTTCTAATCTGCGTTAGAAAATACCTATTTCCTTCCACCGGTAGATAGATATGCTCAGTATACCTTTAATTTAAAATACAATATGGGCAGAGTGCATTGCTTACTTTTGCAATACAGGATCATTACAGTGATATACAAATCCTATCTGCAGTTCAAGAATGCGAAAGCAGTAATAAAAAAAATGCTATTTTGGACCCAGATGTCTCTACTAGATTCTGACTATGACCTGCAATCATATGAAATAGCCTGTACTACCATACAAACCCCTCTCCTCAACCTTATCCCCAACTTCCACAATCTAGTTTTGCAAGTTTTCAGAAGCCAGGGTTTGAAATGAGGGTCTTGTGTTGACCTGTAAAAAGCAGATCTTAGCAGTTTTTTGAAATTTCAACTTCTGTAACAAATCCTAATGTGCCATTTTCTACTGCTGATGAGGAAAGGAAAGGATATTCAATATGCTTATACCAAGCTTTTATTTAGTAAATGGGATTGGCCAAAACACCCAACCACCTGTAAGAGCTAGAACAAAGGTAACCCACCTCTCCAATACAGGTATATCAACTAAACATCTTCCAAACATGAAAGGACTACAACCTTCTTGAAATGTACAGTATATACTGCAGAGAGTATTTATTTCATGGTAGTATATGCAATGTATTTCAGTGATTTATCTGTCAGAGTTATGTCTTCTGTTTTCATAGTCATGGAAGGCTTTGAAGAAGTTAACTTTGCAACTTTGAGAAATAAATTTCAATACTCTAGATGTCCAGTTAAGAATGTTGTGATACTTTTATCAGAGCTAGATTTAGGTGGAATACCACGTCTACTGTTCGAAATAGCCACTGCATATTTTCAAGGGATATATTAATAACAAAGTATGCAAACTCTAAACAAGAGGAGAAACTTATGTTAAAAACCATGCAGGGAGAAATATCTTGCCCATTTTTAAGATAAGAAGTATTCAGATTTTATAATGTTCTTTGTACTGGTTTCGGCTGGGGTAGAGGTAATTTTCTTCACAGTGGCTGGTATGGGGCTGTGTTTTGGATTTGTGCTGAACATATGGAGGGTTTGTTATTGCTAAACAGGGCTTACACAGAGCCAAGGCCTTTTCCTGCTGCCACGCTGGTGAGGCGGCTGGGGTGCATGGGAGATTGGAAGGAGACGCAGCTAGGACAGGTGACCTCAGCTGACCAAAGGGATATTCCAGACCATATGGCATCATGCTCAGTGTATAAAGTGGGGGTAGGAAGGAGAAAGGGGGGGGTGAAGGTCTGGAGTGGTGGCATTTGTATTCCCAAGTAACCATTACACATGATGGGGCCCTGCTCTCCTGGAGATGGCTGAACACCTGACTGCCCATGGGAAGCACTGAATTAATACCTTGCTTTGCTTGTGTGTGCAGCTTTTGCCTTCCCTATTAAACTGTCTTTATCTCAACCCATGAGTTTTCCAGACCCTTCCAATTCTCTCCCTCATCCTGCAGGTGCAAGCAGCTGTGTGGTGCTTGGCTACTGGCTGGGGTTAAACCACGATATCCCTTCATACACCGAAGGGATTACTTCTCCAATAAGATCTTCTTTAATAAAGAACAAAACACAGTTTATGCAGCGAGGAAGATCTGTACCTGGAATATGCGTTCATGTAAGTAGCTGCAGTTGTTCTCTTTGCCGCACCCCTTTCCAGGATTTGGTAGACTTGATTTTTGTTGTGTACAGTTACTTCTTCCAAGCCTTTAATAATTACACCCCGCTGTCAGAAAGTAATATATGCTTATTAGACATCTCTCAACATTCCTGAAAGCCTTAAGATAACAAATTTTGCAAGCACTAACCCTGTTTCGAGGGTCATCAAACATCTGCAGTCTTTCTCCAACATCAGGAGTAGGATTCAGAAGATCAAAAAGCTCCTCATTATAGATCTCCAAAAGAGAGACTTTCACTGAAAATTCAGTACCATTCTCTGTGAGTTTTTCAAATATTTGATGCAATGTACGGGGTATTATACCCGCTAGTGGATCCTATAAATTAAAAAGAAGTATTTAATTTATAAATGTACTTGGGGTTACAGAGTGGAGTTTCAGCTAAACAGCCTGATTGGATATAAGCAAGAATACTTTGAACAAAGATGATCTTCCACATAAAAATTGCCAAGAGTTGTATGCAATACATTAAAGATGTAAAGTTTTGCTTTTCACTTGAATGAATAAGACCATTTGTTAATCTACAAACAGTTAAGGAAAGTCAGCTTCAGGATTTGAAAGACACCAGGTCTCAGTTTTCTTTAGCTTCCTGCAGTTTCCAACTTTGAACTATAGTGCAGACAAGAGAAATCTCTGGAGTGAAAATATACCTCTTCCCAAGTGTATTCCTCATTGGGTGACCGCTCCCCTTCCATTGTGAAGGTCTTACCAGTACCAGTTTGGCCATAACTGTGAGAGTAAAAATAAAAATGTAAACAAGAAACTAAAATTCAAATAAAATTCCCTAATAATCATTACTGGCTTACTTACGCAAACACTGTACAGTTGTAGCCCATAATAACTTCATCCAAAATGGGACACACAACACTCCGGTATACATCAATCTGCTTAGCCTGAGGTCCAAAAACCTATTGACACAAAGACAACACATCCCATTTATCCATACAATAATGTATAGCATCCCACTGTACAGTAATGAGACCATATCAGAGAAATGTACTAGCTTGTTTCTAGAAGTTCCCAACTTGACAAGCAGTTACCAACCATATCAAATGTGTAAGTCTTCTTTGATGTCTTATCTGTCACTCCTCCAGTGCGGACACTGACTTCCTTTCTTGCTTGATCACAGTCTACAACAGGATGGGAGCTTGCTTTAAGTTCTGAGGCATTAAAAGGCCTAAAAAGACAGGAGTTAAGAAAATCAGATTGATATCATCGCTAACAAGAACACAAACTGATGAAGCAGAAACATCACTCAGTGTAAGGATCTAGACTAGAATAACTGGGTAAAAGGAACATAGTTAACTTTGTTTGTTTAATAATTGTTTAAGGAAAAAAGCCACATTTTGGCAGTTTAAAGACCCTGCTTTCTATGCTGTGGGACAAATCAAGTGTATATAGCTTTTTTTGTTACGTATGTATTTTTAACAGGCCCATAACCATTTTTAAGGTCATTTAAATGCACATCGAGCTAAGATGCATTAGAACCCGTTGTTCAACTGCAAGGGGGTAGAAGATCTAACAACCCAAATAGTTGTATAAATAAGAGCATTCAAAAAAGGGAAACACTTACACATGCAAGTTAGTGGAACAGTGAATCAAACTAACTTTAAAAATTTCCTTTTTTATTTTTCATTTACACAAGCAACGATGCCTACATCTCATGCCAATGACATGAGACTCTGAAGCACCAGAAATACCAACAGACCCTACTAATTGTGGAACAGAAAACAGCAATACCAGAACATTTATAATGTTGATGCATTTGAATAGAGTTTAATTAAAGACAAACAAAACAGATTTGGGGGGGAAAAGTCTCCATTAATTAAAACTCAGTCATAGTAAAAAGGTTTAAGAGAGGTGTAATAAAATTTTTGGAACTTTATGGTGTGCATTTCGTTTCACCACTAAGTTAATTCAAACCTGATGCACACCATTTTCCTTGAAGGGACATTTGCAACAATTTCTCCTAAAAAGCATGGAGATGACTGTGGGCTGAAAACTAATAGCATGAAACCCCACTTTATTAGTCATTTATTAGCACTACTGCACTGAATGTCTATGCTACATGTAGAGATGAACAGTTAACTTGAAAATATAACATCTACAACCTTGTTAGTCTTTAAAATATTTTAACAGACACACTTCAGGTGCTAAGTTACCTTAAAGAAAAAAAAACAACAAACAACCCAAAAAGCCACAAGCACGCGGCATCTCGAGTTTCCTGACCCTTGTGGCTAATATTTCTTCCTCAACATAGAACTGAGGTTGAAGTGTCAGATTCTAAACAGACCACCGGACACTTTGGTGCAAGATTGACTGGTGACAACAGATGATCACTAAAATCTTGTTAACAGGAGCAAGTTACAGCTTCAGTTTTGTGACTTTTAAAATAACAGAAGGCTGAATAATGAATATATTCTGCTATTTAACAATATAAGAGTGAACCAGTACAATGAGGAACAATTCAGCGAAGTTGAAGCACACATCCACATTGCCACTATCCCACTAGACAAGCAGCAGCCTCGTATGCCATGGTGACATTCGATCACAGGTTCATCCCTTTCAGTACAAAGGACTATCACACATATTAACAATGCTAATGCATGCATTTTGAGTTTCCAAATTCATGTTTTACCAAAGCACAGTAAACGTGTTGGTTGAAAAGGTTTTTGATACGCTCAGATAGATCAGTTTTTGGGAGCCAATTAGGAGACAAACAAACACAAATGCATCCACCTACATATCTATAAGATAAGAAGAACCTGACTTGATGAAGAAGAAAAAGGAGAAGTGGAAAAAACACTTACTAGTTCAAGTGCACTGAAGCTATTAAAAAAAGAAAAGCTCTACAAGGGGCAAGAGCAAAGATGGGTAAGAAAGTTTTTAGGGGTTAGAGACTAAATCTTGATATAGGAATTAAGACTATGAGCTTCAAAAAAGCAGAACACTACATCATGGACAGCCCTGATGCTACTGTCTTATAAAATAAAAATACACTGATACTTAGTGAGGCTATTCCAGAACAACAGAGGCTAACCACATGAAAAAGAAAATTATTGCTCGAGTGTTTCGAACTCAATTGCTCCAATAAATTTATTCTTTTGCAATAGCCTTGACTCACATCAACACTTTCACCAATCTAATAATATTTGTTACAGAACCTTTTTAGTTGTATTGCAAAAATAAGGCAAAACTGCTTTAAATTTCTATTTTCATTGTGCATCTGTAAAAGTAAAACTCACAAGCTTGAGAACATGATTGCAAAAGGCATTAAAACATAATATGCAAGTTAACATTTGCAGTTCTGGCTCAAAAAAACACCCCAACTTCTACTGGTATTTCAAACCCTATTCTTAACACATTACCAGTATTACAGCTTTAACAAGCAATGCTTTAAGATTATTTAAGATCTACTATCAGTGAGCAATTCTTTAAAGTCACCTCAACATTACGAGAACCTAATTTTATGGTACATGAAATCTATCACTTCATACAAGAAATAAATTTATATAATCAATAAGATAGTTGGCCATTATTACTTAAACAGTTGACCACCCTCCCATAGCTTTTTCGACTGGAGGGTCCGCACCAATGAAATTATATTAGAGATATAAAGACGTGGGGTAGCAACAACTTCATTAGCTGTTAAAGCGTAGTGGCTTCCTACGGAAGGTAAAAATTCAGCTTGGGTTTTTGTGCGCCTTGAACATCAGTCCTACTAACTCACTCTCACCTAGCTCTTCTTAAGCTTCCTACGCAGCTTTACACTGGGTGTGCAACGAATCGCCTTTTTAAGCCATAAGAACTGGCTCGCAGCAGCGTCACTGTGCGGCAGCGCCGATCCCCTGCGGGCACACGGGGCTGCCTCCTGCGCTGAACAACACCCGGGGGGGCTCCCCCGGCGCGGGGCCGGGGCCGCTCGGCAGTACCGCTGGGCAGACAGAGACCCACAGTCGAGCACACCGGCTCGGTACAGCCACAGCCGCCTCTGTCCCGCGGCGGCCCCGGTGCAGCGCCGCGAACGCCCCGGGCCCGAGTCCCGCAGGGACCGACCAGGGTCCTCGCCGGGACGGCCCCCAACGCTCCCCCAAGGGACCCGCCGCACTCACCTGCACCGCACGACCACCTGGATGTTCTTGCCCTTCTCCTCCTTCTTGGTGGTGCCGCCGCCGCCGCCCTGGGAGCCGAAGGAAGCCATGCCGGGAGCAGGAGCCGAGGCGCTGCCGGAACGGGACGTGTCGCGCGCGCCACCGCTACTTTGAACGGCGCAGTGCCCGGCCCGGCCAATCAGCGGCGGCCGCGGGGAACCACGGGACGGCATTTCAAATGGCGGCCCCGCCCCGCGAGGGCTCCGCCCCCCGCCCAGCTCGCACCTCCGCCTCCGAGATACCGCCAGGGGCAAACAGGGCCGCGTCCCGCCTCCTCTGCAGCTGCCGCTCACAGCCCCGGGTCTGAGGGCAGCCCAACTCCTCGCCGCGCACATCAGTCTTCAGCAGTCACATCATCCACGTAACCCTCCCTCGCAGGTCAAGCCCTCCAGCCATTCTTCTGTCCCCACTAGCTCTCCTGTTAGTCCACAGTTTCTTCAAACATCACAGCAAAATTGGAGAAGCATGCCTAAAAAATGCCCTGTGGAGTGGAAGCATTACTTTACCAGTTTAAAAAAATTAATCACATTTCTAATTTACATGGTGGAGCACAGCGTTCACTGTTCCCAGCAGGGCACCTGCTGTGTCCTCAGTTGGTGGTGCCCCAGTTCAGGTTGCCATGTGTCTGCAGCAGAACCACAGCCGGGCAGACCCCATCCCCAGCTGCGCCATGCCCGCTGAGCTCCTCTCTGGACCCTCTGTTCCTTGTGCACACTTCAACTCAGGCTGGTCTCCAGCACAACTCATCAACATCACTGAATTCTACACCTAACTTTCTATATGTTTACAGGTGAGTGTTGCCTGATCGATTCCTGGGAAAGTCTTATATCACAATGAAAGTAAGTAAAGGCTCAGGACAAAGCATCATGGGTGCATCACATCCATCCTTCTGCTTTGAAACTAGATCATGTGAGCCATTTGCCAAGTACAAGATTACACCCTCTCACTAGCAGTTTGATTTATATCACCCTGGCTTCCCTGTGACAGCTTCCTCTGAGAGGCACTATTAAAAGCTTTGCTAGGTGGAGATCTATGACAGGATAACAGGTCTTCTGGGTAGACAGGAAGAAGCAGATGTTATAAAAGATTCAACTGGTCTGACACACTTTTTTTCCAACAAATCTGTACTGGCTCCTACAGACTGTCACACTGTCATCAACCTGTTATGGCCTATGGTGCTACAGTGTTCTGCTGTTCTTCTAGGGCTTTCCCAGTTCCTGAAATTCAGATTACCCATCTATAATTTTGCAAGTGTCCACACTTTTTTTTTCCTAAGTTGTCTGCTTTGAAATTTACATCTCCCTCCTCCATGAATTGTTAAAATTAATAACAAACAAATCCTAACCCTTAAGGCTTACAGTAATTTTTCTGACAGTGACATGAAGCAGCATTACATTATGCTCCTCTACCATTAATCTGAAGAGTTAGAACAATGTCAGAGCCAATCAATCTTATACTAGGTACAAAGAACAGGATCTGAGAAATACATTACTTTCACAGAAAAGGACATGAAGCATCGGATTCCTATTCTGCTGCGAGCAGAAATTGATCAGAAAGCATTAACATTCAAGAAATTTTGTCTGCCATTCTAAATGTAGGCTGATGATGCAACAGGACAAGAGCTATGAAAACTTTGTAAGTATAATAACAATTTTGATTTCAAGCCTTTCTGAGCAAGTATTTTGTTTGTCCCATATAAGATTTTACTTCTTGCATGCCACTGAAAGCAATACAATCTGAAAGTATGTATAGTACATAAATATATTACAAGAAAACTACTTTGCAAGGACAGACATTTCTAAGTTAGTAACTGCCAGATGAATTATTGCCCTTCAACATCAATTTTTAGCCTTTTGACCTCAAACCTAGAAATAAGGTTCTGTAGGAACAGCTTGTAACAAAACAAAATTTATATGCGTAGATGTGCTGGTTTTGGTCGGGGTAGAGTTAATTTTCTTCACAAAAAGTGGGGCCGTGTTTTGGATTTGTGCTGAACACAGGGTTGATAATATAGAGATGTTGTTATTGCTGAGCAGGCCTTGCACAGAGCTAAGGCCTTTTTGTGCTGCCACGTTCGTGAGGAGCCTGGGAGTGCATGGGAGGTTGAGAGGAGACATGGCCAGGACAGGTGACCCCAACTGACCAAAGGGATATTCCAGATCCTATGGGATCATGCTCAGTATACAAAGTGGGGGTAAGAAGAAGGAAGGGGGGGACCTTTGGAGTGATGCTGTTTTGTGTTCCCAAGTAACCATGACACGTGACGTGGCCCTGTTCTCCTGGAGATGGTTGAACACCAATGTCTGCCCATTGGAACTGGTAAATTAATTCCTTGCTTCGCTTGTGTGTGCAGCTTTTGCTTTCCCTATTAAACTCAACTTTATCTCAACTCAGTAGTTTTCCAGCTTTTGCCCTTCTGATTCTCCTCCCTATCCCACAGGTGGGGGGAGTGAGCGAGTGGCTGTGTGGGGCTTGGCTGCTGGCTGGGGTTAAACCACAACAGGCAACTAAGGAACCTGTATTTTCTAACAGTCTTGGAGCTTAACTTTCAAACCAAAATGAGTTTGGTGGGTTCATGTTACTAAGACTTGCTACTTTTTTCCCCTCTAATGAAACACTAAAAATCACAATAATACATTTTGCTTCAGCTAAGTACAGATTTAATCAAGTGGGAAAATAAATATAAGAACAATGTCCATGGCAAACATAGTGAGACCACCTTTACTCTTACTTGCTTTTTTGTATTCCATCTATGCTAAGAGCAAAAATTATTCATACAGACAATTGTGTAGTAGATACTGCTATACTGAAAATTCAAATGCAGGTATGCAAATAATCTGAATCTTTACCTTTTGTTCTATACTCCTTCAAATGGGTCATACAAAAGAATGTAGCACTGGAACTCAGGAAATATTTTCTTCCAACTTCTGCTTTTTTGCTCTTTTCTGGTACAAAAGTCAGATTTTTCCTCAAATCTGGTACAAAAGTCAGATTTTTCCTCAAAATATAACATGTCTCTCACAAACATAGAAGACATCATTTAAACACGTATTTAAACAAGAAGAATCTATTTAATTATTGGGAGTTAAATTTGGTCCATAGCTATCTTTGCTATAGTTGTGGTAAGAGAAAAACATGTATTTCTGGTAATCAAGTTAGCTTAAAAAAAGCATACAGTTTAATAACTGTAGGTCTGTTTTACAATTTATAGTACAGGTTGTACATTTTCTTAGACTAGGTTGAACCTAAAGATACTAATATACTATAAACATAAACTGAGTAACAGGGAGCTAGCATTTCACAAGCAACAAAAAAAAAATGCAAGAATACTTAGGGTAGTCTCAATAGCGGTTGGGAGAATGACCTTTAACAAGGCATGTACATCATCTGTGATATTTTTTTTTTTTTTTAAAGAGAGACAAAAACATTACAGAAAATTAAATGATATAATAATACACACAACAGCCAATGTAACAACTTCAGTAGAAATTACTAATATCCACATATGGATCAAAAAGGACAATTTTTAACTATAGCTTGCCAAGAAAAAGCCATTGAATTATGGTGATATTTATAGACAAAACAAACACTGTTTTTCTAGGATTTGTATCAGAACATCTGGGTAATTATAGGTACAGAGGCCTGACAAATAGTAAAACTGTTGACACAAAACATGATTAGCTAAGAATGAAGAAAGGTTATATAAGGTATAATAATGGAGAGATATAATTAATACAAATTATAAGGCTGGGTGAGACTTCTTTAAGGCTTAGTAACACCTGTTTTGATTACCAACATGCTACACAGTGTATCAACTGTATTGAACATGTGGAGAGTTTAATATTGTTCAATACTATAAGTGACATAGCAAAAATTTGCTGATTAATTGCATATTCACGTTAAAGGGGAATCAACCTGCACCTTAGATAAGCATAAAGCAATTTCTAGTCTTTGAATAGCCTGTCCAGTTGACTAGTAATATTCTAAACTTTGTATTGTTCACATACAGAAATTTAAACAATAAGGACTTACACACACTGTACTGGTACGTTTTCAGCTGAGGACAGGGTTTTCCTTCAGTCAAAGTAACAGGATAATTATGTCACTGTTAAAAACAAAAGATACAATGCAATAAAGTAACTATCGTTAAAATTAAGGACTCAATGCATATACAACATGATTAAAACCAGAACTAGTTTCAACTAACTAGGGAAAATACACAGAATAAAAGATTTTTTTTTTTAGGCACGTGTGCCAGATCACTGTCCGACACAGACAGTAGCACCTTTACATCTTTTTATAGTTGCCATAATAAAAAATTAACACCCCACGTAGGGGGATGTATGCACTTGTGTAATTAACTCAGAGTAAAGCTAGTAATTTTCCATAGGCTTACCTATTTTCAGTTAAGGTGTGCAGCTGGAAGATGTCCTTTACATAACAAGAAAAGAAACAATGAATGGGAAAATTGGAAACGTACAGACTTGACAGGACTGACTGAAGTTAACAGGAAATGTCTCCTTGGCCTCATTACCTTTAATATCTTAAAATTTTATTCATTCAGTATTTTTCTACTGAGAGCAGTCAATAGACAGGTTTTTTTATATATGCCATGTCACGAAATTGCTGCTATTTATTTTGGAGTGGAAATAACAATCATAAGCTATGTTTTTTTTTGAGCCCGAGGCCAGTTTGCTACAAAGCCCTATTATAGACAATTACAATTTGAATTTAGTCCAGAATTTTATCTAGGTAGCAAAAACATGCTTCCATTAGAAGCCTATCAAGACTGTACTTAAGAGTTCTACACTTGCTGTCTCTTAGCTTTCAAGACAAGTACAAAATACTAGTTTTATTTTAAATTATTTGTAACCTGCCTACTTTGAAGATCAATTTCTCTGCACATTTATGTCACATATTCTGAAGAGGGATCTCCACACTGCTACTTTGTAAGGCTTCTTCATGGGAATATTTGAATAATTTCCACACTTACTTTAAATTATATTTAGGCTCATTTGGTCTTTTAGATAACACCTGTTTTTCCACTAGGGCAGATGAAGAAGGCAGAAAGCACCAACTGTCTATGAGCAATTAAAATTTCATGGGAAGAAATCTTAGTTGCTGGACTAGACTGAGAAGCCAATTTTACTGCAAGTCCTTTTAACTTTTGCTGATGGTGTCCTATTAAAAATATCATTAAAACATAGAAAGGATATCCAAAATAGTGAATGATTGTAATTTTGGCTAGTATAAATTGAAATAGAGAGGAGTCAGATTATAAGAACCCAACCTGCTCTGAATAAACATCAGTGTGTCCTGTTTTGGCTGGAATAGAGTTAATTTCTTCTCAGTAGCTGGTGTAGTAGCTGTCTTTAGGATTCAGTATGAGAATAATGTGGATAACAAGCTCACATCTTCATTGTTGCTAAGTCATATTTATCCTAAACCAAGGACTTCCTTGTGTCTCATGCTCTGCCAGTGAGGAGGTGCACAAAAAGCTGTGATCTGAACTGGCCAAAGGGATATTCCACACCATAGAACATCATGCCCAGTATATAAATTCAGGGAGCTACCCAGAAGGGGCCGATTGGGGTTTGCAGGTAGGTTCTGGCATTGGTCAGCAGGTGGTGAGTAATTGTATTGTGTGTCACTTGTCTTTTTATTATCGTTATTATTATAATTTAGTTTCAAATATTAAACTGTTCTTAACCTACAAGTCTTACTTTTGATTCTCCTCCCCATTCCACCGGGGTTGGAGGGGAGGGAGGTGAGCAAGCAGCTGCGTGATGCTTAGCTGCCAGCTGGGTTAAACCATGACACACCAGTGCCACGGAACAGCCACTAAAGAAGCTTACAGTGGATAAAATAGGCGTGACCTCCATTGCAGACCTCTGCTGCAATACTTATGTCAGGTGCATGAGGAGGTGCAATCTTTCATCACCACAACTACAGAAACGCTTGTTTTAGATCCAGCTATTAGCAGACCACCACAGTTTTGCAGGTGCAGTCTATGTTGCTTTCCCAGGATTGCCCCTGTGTATACTAGGTAAGACTTATAGGAAAAGGCAGGATTTATCAGAGCAGCTAAATATAAACCTGGCCAGCATTAGCTAAACATATACATTTGGCTACATTAGGTTAGCAAACTCTCTGTCAGGACCTGAAAAAAGAATAAATTGCCTGAAACTATATACTTCTATAGTTTTCACCCCTATGTGGTAAATGATACAGCATGACTATAGCATGTGTTAACAATAAAGGCATAAGCATTTCTACCATACATCCAATTTAACAGAATGACTCCAATTCACAACCTCTTGATCCCCCAGTTGTTTCCGAAAGGGAGGAGACAGATCATGAAGAGGCACTCACCCAGCAGTGTGACTTCTGTCAGACACCAGGGGATGAGCCTTTCTGATGCACTGGAAACTGCAATAGGGCGGAAGTCAGAATTAAGAGCTCACCATCTATCCTGTCCTCTTTTTGTCCAGCTTGGTCTTCACTTTTATATACACTAGGAACTGGAAAAAAACCAGACTGCCTCCAACTAGAATTCCATGAGGACATTTTTGCAGTAGTTAACATACTGTGTTAAAATTAGGCACCCACACAGTTCTAAATCCAACCAGTTGATTTAGGTGAAAACTAACAAATGCCTTGCTCCAACCAGGATGAGTTAACTTGAGAGACAGTTCTGTGTCTAAACGGAGGCCAGAAGCGTGGGTGTACTTGATGCAGACACAAATGTTTTAACTGGGTGGCTCAGGTATGGGTAAGAGCGTCTCTATAGCAGCACAGACCTCACTGGAAACCAGCATTCCCTGACAGATTATGTTGATTCCCTGTTGACCACATGAAATAGTATGCTGCCACTTCTTAACAGCAAATTTCATGAAAGCTGACTAAAGCTACTTCTGCTACATCTTCAATTCCATCTTTGGGTGCAGAAATAACTTTAGGTAACTCATCTGGCCCATCTTTCTACCTTTTTATGACAGGAGGGTTCTGTGAATTTCCTTTTGTAAGATACCACCTTCTTTTTGTCCCCTTAGCTTTGAAAAATAAGACATAGTAAAATAGATACACCTGAAGAACATACATTACCAGAACTTCAAACAGTGGGGTTTGAGAGGCAGTGGAGGTTTTTTTGTTTGGTTTTTGTAGGAATTTTTTTGTTTTTTTTCTTTTTTTGTGTGCTGGTTTTGTGTTGGTTTTTTTTTTCCTAGAAAGGAATTAAAGCAACCAGCCCCATCCACGACTTTCCCCCAGAAATCCCCCCAGAAAATCAAATATATGGCAACCAATCTTACCCAGCATTTACACCTCTACACCCTGAGAAGCGAATGCAGTGCCCGGCGCGGCGGAGCCGCAGAGCTCGGCTGCAGGTGAGTGGCGGCCAGCGGGCTCCAGCGGAGCTCCCGAGGAGAGAGCGCTGCCGCAGGGTGCACTGTCCCCGGGGGAGGGAGGATTTTGACACCCGAAATCTCTGCCGCTCAGGACGGCGCTGCACCCACTGTGCTCAAATTACGAGGCGTCTAATTACCTTTTGTCTTGGCTTTCGCCGGCAGGGACGCGGAGCGCGGACACCGGGACGCGGGCGGGCCGCTCCCTCGGCGGGCGCAGCCCGAGGCCGCCCCGCTGCCCTTCCCGCCGCAGCCCCGTCCGCCTCCGCCGGGCGCGGCCCCCCCGCCGCGCCGAGTGTCGCCCCGGCTCCCCGCCCAGCCACCCACCCCCTCCACCGCCTCCGCCTCTTCCCAGAGGCCCCCGGCCCCCTCCCCAGCCGCAGCCCCGGCCCTCCTGGCGGCAGAGGCAGCTCCGGCACTCCCAGGTACCCCCAGGTACGGGTCCCGCCAGGCCCGGGCGCGGAGGGCGGACGGGACCCCGCGGGCGCCGGGAGGGATTGGCCGGGCGGCGGGGGGAGGCGGGCGGAGAACATGGCGCCGGGGAGCGGCGCGTGCTGAGCGACCGGAGCCGGGCCGGGCGGCGGGGCAAGGCCGGTGCTGGCGGCGGGGCCGCCAGGGCTATGCGGCAGCGGCTGTGCCCTGTGCTGAGCCGGGCTCTGCCGGGCTGGGCGCGCCCCTGGGCCGCCCCGGCCCCGCGCTTCTTCCCTCCGGGCCGGCGGCGCAGCTCTTTCGGGTACGGTGCGAGTGCGGCGGGGCCGGGGCAGGGCCGCGGGACCCGGCGCCGTGTGACCCGGGGCCGGGAGGCCGCAGAGCACCCGCAGGGTTGTGTAAGAGGCGGCGGTGGGGCGGGGGCACCTTGTGCGGCGGGCGGGGAGCCGGAGGGGCTCGGGCCGCGGAGAGGGGCTGGCGGCGGAGCCTTCGCGGGAAGCCGAGCTGGGGGCGGCGGGGCCGGGTGTGCCGGGGAGGCCGGAGTCCTGCCCTATGTCCTGCCGTGTCCTGCCCTGCCGCCCGGGCTGACGTGCTCCCGTGTCTGCAGCTGCACCTCCCTTGACAAAGCAAGCTTGGTCATCAGCCGTGCGGCTTTCCTTGCCCGGGGGCTTGCTTTATTGTTCCCTGCCCCCTTGCAAAAAAACCCATGAATTTTCATGTTACTTGCCATGACTTCCTAAGCCTTAATTGTGGAAGAGAAAAAAAAAAGTAAGTTTAAATTCTGTAAGAAGAAACTGCTATCAGTCACCCAAAGTTGCTGGGAGCGGCCTCTTCAGTTTGTGACGAGCCGTCTGGCACTGGCATTGTGCGGAGCTTGTTTTTGTGTGTGTTACCAGTGTTACCAGCTCCGGTGGGGAGAGAGAAGTAACCTCGATCGAGGGAGGAGCGGGCGGGAGGCTTGGCATGGCTCACTTTTAGGGGCAAATTAAGCTGCGTAACAACTCGGCAAAGTTTTTCCAGGAAGAGAGCTGAATAAGGGACAAAGGCCAAGTTGTTTTCTTTCTTTCATTAATACTGTACCTTAGTAGCCAAATCTATTTTTAACACTGCACAAATAAGATGCTACGTCAAAAGTAGCATCTTTCCGGGGAAAAAAGTGAGTTATGATGACTCATACTTGTCGGTGCTTGCGTGTCAAAATTCGGATGCACCGTTATTGTTCATTATTGCTATTTATGCTTCAGAATTGTAAAGGTAATCCACAGTGCATATTCGGAGCCAATGCTTTTTCTCAGGCTGTAGTTTCTCCTTCTGGATTACTCCCCTTGAAGCATGTGAATATATGCAGTATTTGGACTTAACTTTATGTATGTGAGTAGGCCTGTTATGTTTTCATGCTGCCTACAAGCATGATTTAATCATCTGTTTAATTTTAATTGTGAATTAGGATTTACATAAATGATAATGAAAAGAGAGCAGGCATAGTGCTTTCATGTGATGATTTCTTTAAGATGTGAAAATTAAGAATTTTTTTTCAATTACATGTTCTGTTTCCATTTCTGTATTTTGTTCATGTTTTCACATTTTTTCAGCTTTAACTTTTCATAAAACTTTTAACCTTCATCTGCATGTCAAGCAGCAAGATAATTTCACAGTTAGAACTTCTTGTCTCTTTTTTGTCTCATGTACGGCATTGAAATGATCTGTTCTAGTTGGAAAGACGTGAAGGATCCATGTATCCGTGTTTGCATGCTTTTTTGCTCCCTTTTTCCTTTCTGTCTTCAGTTGGTGTAAAGCTGTGTGTTAATCCCTTGGATGAAATGGTACCTTCGGGAATTGTTCAAACTGTCAAGCATATAACTTACTTTGCACATGAATACAGAAGGATTCCCCTACCCTGTTAGGTCCAGAAGAAAGAGAGAAGGGACAAGTTGTTTAGTACCTCCAGTGTTTCATTGAACTGGAAGGTATTAGGCCCCTAGCTAGGGTTTGTTGCAGGTTACTGTAGAATTCATTTACTGAAAATACTGTCAGACCATTTGAGAGATCGCATATTAGGTTGATATTTTTTATATATTAATTATATTGTATTAGATGCTTTTATAATAATTTTAGTATATTGATTTTTTAACAAGATAGAAATCAGAAAGTTTGTAATAAAAATCTAGAGAAATTGCTTTAGTTGGTTTTGCGTCTGGTTTTGTATTTGCATGTGCAGGGTCTGTCAATGCACATCTTTGTTTTCAGTTTTTGTGATGTCCATAAGTTGATAAAATATGCTTATGAGATAGCACTGTGTATATGTAATAAGGTGATTTTTGATGGAACTTGTTTGAAAGTTGCTTTCTGTTAAGATCTGACCTTCTGCAACTTGTTTTTAGAATGAGTTGCAGTTTGCCTGAACAATTGAGATGGAAAAATATGCTGTAGACTTGAGAGTTTACTAACAGTGTTAGCAGTAGAACTAGAATTGAATTGTCCAAAACTGTAAAAACTAAACCAGCAAATAGGTGAACAGCCAGGACTGCCTTTGTTGAAACACACCCCTGACGGCTGTAAACTGCTCGTGTTTATGAGTTTGTTGGTTATGTCAGAGCTCTAGTGTCAGATAAGCAATTGCTTTTAATGTGGGATTACAGTGCTTTTAATGATTCAGAATTCTGAAGTGCTCTCTGTTTTTGTTGATAGATCAGATTTTCTTGCCAGTTCTCTCATCTTTCTATGTATTACTTGGTGTTATGCACAAGTTTTAGTCTCATCTTGGTGGTTTTTTTTAATTCAGACCTCACAAGTTTTTCTTTTTGAGTATAAGACAGATGGTAGCATAAAGTATTAAATGAGTTGGCTTTACAAAGAGTTTTGGGCAATCTGATGTGCTACTTGTAGATAAAATCTATGAAATACGCATCAAGATACTGTTAGAATAAAGCACAGAGGTCTCTCCTATAGCATCGAGTTTGATGTTTCCCACTGTGTGTGCAGGGCCACACACCAGACACCACCACTGTATTGGGGTTGGGGACCAAGCCCTGCAACTGTAGAGTGATGAAGGAAAAATGTCAGGGAAGGAGGAAGAGCCTCAGAACCCACTGGTTTGCAAGTATACAAGGCATAAAACAATTAACTGAATTAATGAGTACATTTCTGAAGCAAATGTATAAAATACGTTTTCAAGCAGCTGGTCATGTAGCACAGAAACTAGTCTGATCAGTCTTGTTCTTAACACTCAGTTTGAGACTGATAAAAATAATTGTAAAATCTGCATTTGTGAAAATTCCGAAGATCCTATATTATGATGACGTCTAAAAATTAAAACCAGATAGTTTTACTTAAGTTTAAAAATTCTCAAATCTTTCAAATAATCAAAGGCTTCAAAACCCTTTGGGAATTTCCCTAGTTTTCAGCAATCTTGTAAAAAATTGAAGTGAAGAATTGCTAGGAAAAGACTAATTTTAATTGTTTTATTTATGGTGAACGTGGTTAAAGCTTGTTTACCTTGGAGATTGTGTTTGGACGAATTGTTTGGGGCAATTTTCGAGGAGGTAGGAAAAGTAAGCTGAAGTGATGTAGAGATTTTAAAAAAAACTTGTTATCCTTTATTGCTGTGTGTAAAATGAGATTGTATAAAATCCTGCCTTTTTGTTTGATTTTTTTACCCAGTGCTTTGGGAACTGGAGTGGTCAAGTTAGGGAACGTAGATTTAGGGCAATAAATCAGCTTTATGTTGTCTTTATTGTATATCCCATCTCGTTTGACTAACACAAGACTGTTGAAAGCACACATCATTTTACTTCTCAGGCCAATTGCCTGATCTTACATGTGAAGCCACCAGGGCCCTTGTTTTTGCCAAGTTCACACGTGGTACTGTCTCATTAATGCTACTGGTAATTCCTGTACACCAGTGTTGCACACCAGTGTTTCTGCTGTCACGTTGGCACTGAAGCCTGTGGCAGACCAAGTTTTACTGCTGTGATCTAGAAGTTGTAGAAGCTGGATTCTTTTGAGAACCAGAGCAAGGCAAGTGTCTGCCCTGGCCACCATCATTAGGAGGGAATTTTCTGAATCAATTATAGACTTGGCAAAAAGCTGCAGACTGAGGTTCTGAAAATGCTTTAATTGTAGCGTGAGTTTAGAATTTCTTCAAAATAAACTACATAACAAAACCTTATAAATATTCATCATCTTCAAACTTGCCTGATTTGGCATGATTAGTTGCTCTTAATAACTTGGTAGCACTGATTAAATCCTTGTGGGTCTTTGTAGTTGGAGCCTTTGTGTATGAAGTAGTATGCTGAATTCCTGATGAGTTTAAAAATGATAAAACATGTTAACATTTTAAGCAGTTTATCTACTTATGCAGTCTGTCTGCCTGTGTATGCAGTCAGAATTATTTAGATCAGTATCAGGAACGTGTTGGGATCTCATACATTCTCTAGCTTCATGACAAGTAAATTCACAGA